GCGCCTTGGCCTGGCACCGCTGGCGCTCCCGGCCCCTCGGCCGCGCTCCCGGGTTGCTGCTGGCCCCGGGTGCCCCGTTGCTCGCAGTGCGTCCGCAGGGGCAGCCCCGGCCGCTGGCCCTTGGCCATGGGCTCCCGTCTGCCCGGCCCGGGGCCGCGCGGCGCCTCCAGCAGCGCCTCGCACCACGCAGCCCTCATCCTCATCCTCATCCTCATCCTGAAGGGGGTTTCGGCATCTTTCTGGGTAACACAAACAGCTCTTATCCTTAAAGATCCCTAGAGGAATGAGACACACAACTGGCAAACCCTACAAATTTCTCCACGTGTATGACACTACAATTCTGCCCAGAATTCTCTGCAAAGCACCATATTTCAACCTACAGAGTCTTGCATTGCACAAGCGTTCTTTTTTTAATTTTATTTTTCCTATAAAAACATCATGTTTTAATTCCACAGGTTTCACCGTGGTACACAAGAAGCCTAAACAATTCAATTTTCAGTGCCAGCTCTCGATGCACTTAAAGATCTGTCTCAAGTTCAAGTACCGACATGAGGCTTTAGAAAAGCCAGACAAAATGAACAGCAGCAAATAACCATAAACAGACAGCGTACGTGTAAGAGTTCAAAAGAGGTCAGCTATAAGTTGGCTGAACAGGTAACGGGGATATACTACCCTGTACCTAAACTACCACCTGAGCTGCCTGAGGAAGCCAAGGCAGGGAATTTAACAGCAGCTTCTGCACAGGCTCAGAGGAAAGCAAGGGACCACAAACCCGAAAGTATTGCAGACAGGTAATTGCTAAAAACAATACTGGAGGAATAAACCGCCATGAAATGGAAATCTAAGTAACTAACTACTAAAAAGGAGGAAACAAGGGGTAAAAGCAATAATCAGTTTGGCAAAGGATTACCGGTGGCATTTCAGAGATCATACTGAAAAGCTGTTTTGTTCAACGCACTCATAAATGATCGAAAAAAACATAGATGACATCTGTTGCCAGCTACTGTTACTCCGCATTATACCAGTATTATGGTATTAGTCAATATGAACAGATAGATTTCACACTGTGTATTCACAATCAATTAAAAATTTTGTCCAAACCCAGAAGGCAAGGCATAAATGGGGAAAGGAGCACAAGGATTTCAAGCAATATAAATGAGCCACAGATTTCTACAGGGTAATAAATTAAGAGTAAGCTGTTTAGAGCATGGTAGAAAATAACTGCAAAGGAAAATATGCAGTTAGTAAGAACTGCATGTGAATGCATTAAATAGCAGGAGAAAATGACCTTTTACAGAGTTACTGCCATCCGAACGGAGGGAAGGAGGAAGCTGCTGAAGAAGTAGCTGGGTAAGAACCTTTCCGGACCGAGGAACCTTTCCAGCAAGCACAACGGGAGCAGCAGCGAGAACGCCAGGGCCCCCTGCGCTCCGCCGTGCTGGGGTGCTCCGCGCCGGCCGCGGACACCCGGCGCCGCGGAAGTCTGAGTAATTTTTGTAAATAATTTCAGCATTATGATCTGAAGAAAACAGCAAAATCCCAATGCACGTACTTTTTGATGCAGTCATCCAACTGTATTATATCCTATGATACAAATACAAAAACCTTCTCCTTATCATTGTTATTGGAGTAATTGCTCTTGTACTTAAAATGTATGGGCAGTTTTATAAGAAAATGAAGTTGTTTTAAATCTTCACAAGGAAATACAATTAGCTTCTAAACAGCACAAAAGAAAATTAAAATAACAATGACAGTGATTTTATCTGCAGTAGAGAAGCTATGTTGTCCCCTGCTACTCACCTATTATCATATTAAATTAAATAACACAAGTGCTGAGACTCCAAGAGTTCACCCTCAATGACAACAGAACTATCCTGCTGCATGCAGCAAGCATAGATCTAACACTGCAATACCCAATATCATCATTATTATTAAAGTGCCAGCACATACATTGCTTATGGTGTCCTCAGTAATGGCTGAAATCCTTAATACTTACTTTCTATAGAAATGATTAGTACTATATTGAAGCGTAACTAGGCTAAAGCTTGCTTTTTTTGCAAAAACTCTTTTCTTCAAGTAAATTCAGGTAAATCAAAAATACATACCCGAGTCTTTTTCTAGCTAGATATCCCCTTATCCATCTTTGAACAATTATGATTGGTGAATGATGTGCCAAAACACGACTGATTTTGGAAACGACATCTTTTACACGACTTAAAGCCTCTTCAGCATTTGCTTCCTGCATGAATTCAAAAGAAAAATTTGTTGAGCACAACATGCACTGAAATTCATATTTCTACCACACATGATTTTAAAGACAGATTTAAAAGAGATTAATTTCACCCCATAGCTGTAGACCAAAGATGAAGCAGGTGCTTTCATGAAAGCAACTTAACCAAGCAGAGCAAATGCTCCTCGTTATCAAACCGGGCCTGGGAGTTCCTTCCCAAGCAGTATCTTTCCCATGTGAAACATGCAGCAGCTCTGCGGGATCCTGTCCTCCTGCTGCAGAACTGTTCCTCCTTGCACTTCACAGGAAAGCTATCTGCCCTCCCCACTTACAGATAGAGGTTATTAAAGGTTATTAAATTTTTACTAGTGAAAAACACATTCACCAAAGCTATCAAATGCAGGCATTTGCAGTTATTCTTTAATGCATAACTACAAGACATTTTAAAAAAGGAACTAATTTTACTGTATATCCAATGTCTATTCAATACAACATAGATAACTCTTTCATAGAGTTTTTCTAATTCTCATGGGCAGAAATAAATGTATTTGTTTCATTGAACAAGAAGTATAAGCTTTCTTCTCAGCTACAGGCTCCAAATTTTTGAAACTGTTCACACACACACACAATGCTATGGTCTATTCTATGCCGATGATTTTTCACTCCCTTTTTTAACTTCCATTTTCAAAACTAAAAGTGAAAATCTAAACAAATTACTTCTTTCTAAATCATTGGTGTAGTTCAATCTCTACAGATATAATAATGATTGATTATTAACAGAGCCTTGAAATTATTCAGGTGCACTAGCTTTGTTTAAAAGGAATCAGAACAAAATTAAATAGTATTGCCATTCACAATTAAATAAAGTGTTGCCATTCAAAAAATAGAGGCAGAAATTTAGAAAGACAGATTAAATGTTCTTATGTAGCATCTTTGCTATCCTTAGCCACCAAGGCAACAATCAGTTTACAGCGGCATGTGAAAAGAAATGTCCTGACAGCAAAATGTAACACGAGATCCTGCCTGGGTTTAAGTTGAAGGTTTTGATTAACACTGGGTATTTAAAAAATTGTTTTACCCTGAAATGTCTCGATTTTTAATGAAATGTCTCCAGTTTTAATGAAAAATTACAAAATACCCACTGGCCTAGAAAAAACAGCAAACAATAACTGTTTGTACAGTAACTGCTAGGCTCAGAGAACAGCCAGAGGAAGGAGAATGAATTTTTCCCTATCTGCTTTCAGGCAAAGGATTTGGGTTCCCCAAGGACAAAGTAACAGAAACGGCAATGAAAATGTTTAGAAAGGACTCACAAAGAGAATGGGGACATTCTGCAAAGGCAAATGGGGAGCCTTGAATACAGGGGGATACAAATTAGTGCATTTTTGTAGTCAGACGGAAGTACCTCGTTTAGCTGCAGGTCCAGCCGAGGTGAGCGGAAAGGCCAGGGTAAGAGCAGAGCAGATGTGCGGGAAGATGCTGGGCAGCAAGGCACGGAGCCGGAATGAAACCCAGGAAGACTATTTAATACGGACATCTTACTTGTCTGCATCCGTGTGTTCAGTGCCTCATTAAGCAATTAAGAACTATTTATTTTAAGGAAAATGCTCTCACAGCTCAACCTTTCAGGAAAGCAGCTGCTGTGCTTACCTTTCTAGCAAGAGGGCTGAAGTCAAGGAAAAGAGCAGGGCAAAGCGCTCCGTACTTCTCGGGAAGCTTCCACCCCTCCACGAGCTCCTCGTCCGAGATGACGTAGTAGTCGAGCGCGCGGAGCGCGCGGAGGGCGAGCGCGGTGCGGCGCCGGTACGCGGCCCGCAGGAGCTCCCGCAGCCCTTCCCAGAACGCGGCGCCCGGCAGGCGCTCTATCTGGAAAATGGGGAAAAGCCACCCTTCAGGAAAAGGCGTTTTTTAAACACGCGAGACTATGAAATATCACACACAGCCAGATCAGCCCTGGAATAAACAGAAGCAAATTTACTGCCTAGGCAAGGGACGGGGCTCAACCTGGCCCCCATTCCTGCACGACTATTGAAGAGACAACTCCGATGGCTCAAAGCCACACAAGGGAGAACAATGAATCCTGAGTCACCCGTTACAATGCCACGTTTTTACATGTGACAAAGCTGAAGCTACGTGAATCATACAGGCTCTTCTAGGGACAGGATTCAGCTCTTCTGACTAGGACTGAAGTTCTTTTCATTTTGTGGTTCTTTCTGTTTCATGTCCAGCACATAAAACTCAGAAGGTCTCATCGGAAATTGCAGAGTAAAGTTCAGCTTTTGTCCCATAACCTGAAAGGGGGATCGGTGGTGAGTTCCCACCGACACACGCCATGGACATCACTACCAAGACATAACATACCTAACACCAGCAAGCAAGACTTCCCCATAGATTGAAAACAAAAACAAACATATCTTTAAGAGGAAAAATAGATTAAAACAGAGAACTGCATAATATGTATTGAATATCTCCCGAAAATCCTGAAGAGTAAGTTCAGAGATAAAGAAAGCAGCACATGACCTTCTGCTTTCAGTTTTTAAAACTAGACAGATGAAGCCCTTCAATACACAGTAAGAACCATACATCATCACCAAGTTACAATATAAAAACTGTCGCGTAGACTTTCCCTGCTTTCTGTTTATTTGATTTAAAACATGTACAACATACTGAGAAGTTATTTTATCATTTCTCTGCACAGTAAAAAAAAAATTCTACTTCATATTATAGCTTTTCAGGCTATTTCAATATAGCCATTTGAATGCTGAAAAACTTGCATGTAACAACTGGTGATGTAATCATCACCGTTTCCTTGGAGCTAAAAAACGAAGGGAGACATCAAAAACTGAACTTCTCCTCTAAAAACTGCTTTCTGAACAAACAGCGGGGTAGCCATGGCAAAAATGCTCATCTCATTCTCACTAATGGCAAAACTCCCATTTAATTGTGTGAAGCAAAAATGTAGCTACTCCCACTGTAGGAAAATTGAATATATTAAACCAGAAGAGCTCCTTCCATAAGTAAATCATACTTCATTCAAAATATGTATTGCTTATAAGGAATGCAAATGTACAAGTTTTTAGACAAATTAACATAGCTTTTGTTTCTTCATAAACTGCTATTATTTACCTGATTTCCATGGAGATCCAGTTCAACTAAATGAGGACAGCATGCAAGTGAATCAATATTAGTAATGAAATTATTTGCCAGGATGCATATTTTAAGTGAATAGCAATATTGTAAATGTTCCACATTCTTTAGATACTGCCCATTTAGCCAAACTATGACCAGATCTTCTAGCTCCTTTGCACGACTTTGGTCAACAGTTTGCCCACATTCAAGCACCATATTTTTTGAAGTGGGGACGAGATACTCGGTTAACTTCTTCATGATGAGCTCTTGGTTTTGATTCATCACTCAGATCTAGGAAAAGGAGAAAGGCGAAAGGTATGTAATAGGATACATATACTCAGCTTAGTCTGGATTAAAACACAGATATCCAGATACGGGCTACAAAACTCCTAGTGAAACGGCAGGTGCCGCAAGGCAGCGGCGGGCGCCTCTGCTGCCGCCACCGCTCTGCGCATCACCCGCGGCGTTGGAGGACAGAGCGCTTCAGGGATGGCGATCATCCGTTATTCCCTGGAATCGAGTGTAAGGACAACTGATATTAAAGTGCCACTATAAAAGCGGGGTTGCCGTTAAGCTCCAAGTGCCGTTTTCGTTGCCCAACAGCAGTACTCCTGCAGGCACGAGGGCCCCGGCCGCAGCCTGCCCGCCTGACGCGGTTAGCAGTACGTTACTGTTACCCGTGTGTG